AAAAATAAGAATTTTCAATTTTGATTTCATGGTGACTTTAAAGACGCTTCCCATGTAGCCAGCGCAATCAGGCCAATTGCGGCTGAGTCTCGGCTCACTCGGCTGTGTTCTTGCAGCAGCTCACCCAAAGTGAGCCAGCTCTGGCCCAGTAATGGTTGCCAGATTTGGCTAGGGTTTGGATGTGCGGATCTGGCCCGATATGCACTGAGACACGGCACATTTAGCCACATTCGGCCCGATTACAGACCATAAGTGCTGGTCTGATTTTGGCTGAGATATGGGCATGCATACCCGGACCAGTTTAGGTTGAGTGCTGGGGGTGGGTCTCCGTTTACGATGTGGTAAATAGTATGTATGCCCTTGTTATTTTTTTGTGTATTTTTTATTTTAATTCCTATTAATATTTCTCCCTTTTATCCAACATTCTCTTTTTTCTTTAACTACATTTGGAAATGTATGATTTAATTAATATAATGAAACAAGCTTAAAGTGGTTAAGGGAACTTTAACAATATTTTTGCTATATGAGTTTCAAGACATGTGCACTAGCTTTGACATATAATGACAAAACCTGACGGGCTTTTTGTGCTGCTAATTGCCAGAAGACCAGAATAACTTAATACGCTGGTGAGTAAACATTTGATAATCTAACATATAATATTTTAATAAACCGTTCTACACCTATAATATCAAAGTAATGTGTATTTATAATGAAGCTATAATTGTGAGTTTGCTGACATATGGTGCGTTCAAGTCATGTCAGATAGATCGTATTTACGAAGAGTTTAGCTCCAACCATAATCAAGCACACCTGATCCAGCTAATCACGGTCTTCAGGATTACTAGAAACTTCCCTCTTGTGATACTGTACAACAGAAAGTGCTGTGGTAATCCTGTCATATTTAGCTCTGCTCATTTATTGTGTGGTAATGTTATGTTGTACTGCTGCAGTACCACAGGATTACCACAGGACATTTTTGTAAGGGGTTTTAGTTCTCTTTATTTTCTTCATCACAGGTAAATCCAAAATGTCTGAAAAAGTGCAATGAAATTATTACAAAACCTAACTTTGGTCCCACTTCAACTATGTTTTCGATATTGGATACATGTACATGTGTACATGTCTTTCTATCCCGGTAAGGACTTAAACCTGAATACACACCAACTCATGAGGTTAAGTTATAAATCATACAGAATTAGTTTTTTATTTTATTTTATTTTATTTTTTGGAGAATGTAAAAATGCAGAAAGTTTTCTGTGAGGGGTAGGTTTAGGTGTAGAGCCATACGCCTATGGAGAGACTGTCACGGTTCATAGATGCATCAGCACCTTCTGGTTGTTCTGTGTACTACCGTTGATGAGTTCACAAGGTTTAGCTGGGGCTCGTTAACTGCTCAACGGTAGTACACAGAACAACCAGAAGGTGCTGATGCATCTATGAACCGTGACAGAGTCCCCATAAACCAGACGTGTGTGTAAATGTATTTCTATCCCTGTGGGGACCTCGTGTGTGTGTGTGTGTGTGTGTGTGTGTGTGTGTGGTGGGGACCTCGTGTGTGTGTGTGTGTGTGTGTGTGTGTGTGTGTGTGTGTGTGTGTGTGTGTGTTAACACATTACAGCACACTCCTTTACAGTAATTGTGTGAATAATAAAGCTCTTTGTGATTATTTGCAAGCCACTTATCCCACACAATGGACAGTAGGCTACTCAGTTTACTGCTACAAATTTCATGACTGACTTACTTTGCTCTGAAAGAACGACTGTTGTAGATGTCTTTTTTGTTAGTAAAGAATCAGGATGACTTATTGGTCTACTTTAAACCTGCACATATAACGTATTATGGGCAGCCCTCACTCTCTCTGAACCTGTCATATTTCTGCTTGGCTCCGCTCCTGTGCTTGAGCACTGCATAAGAAAACTGAGTGACGGCTCAGCTGTCAGCGTCACTTTAGCGCCTCGGCTGATATCGCGGAGGGATATTTCTTCTTCATGTAGCACTTTGGTTCGGGACACGCCACACAAGCGATAGTGCGGATCGATATCATGATAAGAAGAGCGCATTCAGCCCCGGTTAGTCCTAGGAGTCAGTCACACTGTATAGTGTATAGCACAATTTATGACGTTATTGAGCATTTATTAAAACACATCGCGACCCAACATTTAGAGATCAGTCAATTATTTATTTATTTTTTATTTTTTTTACCTTTACTTTAAGAAACATCTTGCAGAACTTGGTTGTTGCCAAACTAGACAAGACAGCTCAACCCCCTTCTTTGATCTGACTGGCTACAATCGAACGTGCTAAAAGTTTAACTTTTTAGAATCTTTTTTTGTCATCCCAGAAACTACTGTGTAGTACGGAGCCCAGGAAGTCACCTGTAGGAGAAAAAAGAACAATCCGTGGCGACGGTTTTGCTATCCGTCCCCTCAGTTTAGAAACCGTACTCACGAATTCTTAAACTGTTCCCTCGGTTTAACAAATCGTGCCCACGGATTAATAAACCGTACCCACGAATTTCCAATCCGTGCGCTCAGATTTTGTAAACCGTACCTTCGGTTTTTCAATCCGTACACACAGATTCATAATCCGTGCGCTCGTTTTCGCAATCCGTTCCCTCGGGTTTGTAAACTCGTGGATTTGTGGCCCCGCCCCCACCGGCAGATTCAACCACGGTGCGGGATGCATAGTATTGTGTTTATTAAACATTATTTTTCTTAGTATGAGACCATGATCCGCACTCACAAAATAGTCTTCTTTTTAGCGTTTATTTTATATTAATCACAATAGGATAAAACACCGCCGCCTGTGGTTTATAGCCTAAAATAAACGCTAAAAAGAAGAATAGAAAATTTCCTGAATTTTCTAAAAAAGAAAAAAGAAAACGATAGAGTTTCGAGAGAAGAAGGTAAAAAGCAATACAAAACCAATAATGTACCGGTTATGTTGTCATTCCTTTGCTCTCTAACTGAATGCAATGTTATAATCGGCCTAGCTATTTAATAATAACTTTAACAGTGAAGCATGCATCTAACTCTGGGGGAAAAAGCTTAGTATAATAAAATCACCTAAATAAGTCTGAATGAATGAATGAAATATGTTAAGAATGAATAGTACACAAACACATTTCCAAAACTGTGAAAGGTTATTTAAAAATAAAGCATGACAAACCCGAGGGAACGGATTGCGAAAGCGTGCGCACGGATTGTTTTTTTCTCTCCTACGGGTGACTTTCCGGGCTCCGTAGTATAGCCTACAAACATAACGGAGTATAAGTGCGTTATCAAACATTTGTCACATTTAGGCTACAGTTTAGCTCGCATTAGGATATCCCTTTAAAAGAAGGCTAGGCTATACAAGGGGGAAAAAAACACCACAACATGATTGTGCTTAAAAACAGTTACACAGTAACTTTTGTTTAAGTTATTCTGAAAACGGATCTGTAGCCTACTTATTCATAACCTATTTACTGAAATAATAAATTATTTACTGAAATTATTATGCATTACGCTGAGCAAACGCAAACACTCTCCAGCGCGCTGGTTTTGGGCTAATGGGTAATTAGCTGGGAGAGACGTGAAAACGCCCACTTTACACTACTTAAATTCGACACCAAATCCACGCCGTCCCCAGGGTGAGTTTTGAGAAATCTAGCGGTCTTTCCAGAATGGACGTTTTAGCAGTTCCCCAAAAGAGAGAAGAGGGCTGGTACCTGCCTCTTATGGCACCAAACACAAAGGGACCAAAGTTTGCATGGCTTGATCCATCAAGACTATTGCAATTCACAGGTAAACAATCACTCTTGTTGCCCGCCAAACTTTTCCCAGTGCATGCCTATGCATGTACGTTATTGAATAACCTAGCTTTAAAACTGTGTCTTGAAGTCTGAAAAATAAAGTAAGACATGTTAGAATGTGTTTGACTACCATAGGTTTTATAGTTTATAGTCTCTGCTCACTGTTTTCTGTCACTCCTAACTGATCCAGGCACTGTCAGATTGCGTAAAGGATCTTCTCAAACCATTCCAGAATGAGACCATTGACCTGGTGGCTGGAATAGATGCCATGGGCTTCATCCTCGGTATAAAACTTTCTCTTTTGTAGCTGGGGTGGAGCAAGACAGTCTGAACTCGAGAGATGATATTTTTAGCTGAGTTCACATGTTGCAGTAAAAGTAAATATAACACCTTGGCAAATAGGCTAAATATAGAATGGGGCATACTTTAGGGACCATCTCTAAAGCCTGACTTAATGAAATGTATAAACTTAAATGATAGTGTCTATTCACTATTTCAGTGAATATTCTGAAAAATTGATTACTTTTATTTTTACTTTCTCCTGCAACTTCAGGGTCAGCTGTGGCAGTAACTTTAGGAAAAGGATTTTTGGCCATTCGAAAAGCTGGACACTTGTGTGTTCGAGACCATTGACCTGGTGGCTGGAATAGATGCCATGGGCTTCATCCTCGGTATAAAACTTTCTCTTTTGTAGCTGGGGTGGAGCAAGACAGTCTGAACTCGAGAGATGATATTTTTAGCTGAGTTCACATGTTGCAGTAAAAGTAAATATAACACCTTGGCAAATAGGCTAAATATAGAATGGGGCATACTTTAGGGACCATCTCTAAAGCCTGACTTAATGAAATGTATAAACTTAAATGATAGTGTCTATTCACTATTTCAGTGACTATTCTGAAAAATTGATTACTTTTATTTTTACTTTCTCCTGCAATTTCAGGGTCAGCTGTGGCAGTTCAAACTCGCACTCAGGACTACAGTGACTATTCTGGACAAGAGAAACTAATGGAAGTGCGTGTTGATGTGTTAAAGCCAGGTACTGATGTATGTAAACTCATTTTGTCACTATAATGGTTGGTTGAAAATGCATTATCTTATACTGGGAAAAGGGCATTTAAAGCTGAAAGTTAAAAGATATTACAATCAAATTAATATTTTTACATATTATATTTGCAGTGATTTATAAATGATTGATCAGCTCTGTTTTATACTATATAATCCAACTTTATATAATCCCATCACATAATGACTGCACAACTGTGTGTATTCAACTGTTTTTGCATTATTGACGCATCTAGTGACTGAGCAAAATGTGAAATTCTGATATGTTATGATATCCTTCAGGTCTGCGGGTTCTTATAGTAGACCAGTGGATTGAGACTGGAGGAACTATGAGAGCAGCTATCAAACTGGTGGAGAATCAAGGAGCTACTGTTGTAGGTAGGCCGAAGCATAAAACGGCTAATAAAAACAAATGTTTTGAGACCGGGGCTGTTTCATAAAAGACTCTAGGAAAAGCGGGGATTAAAGTCCAAAACCTGACTTGAAATAACCTTACAAATCAATCGGGACTAAAGTGGTTTCATCACGCAATCTCACTAATTCGATCCAGGTTCAATGAGTCAGGATAATTTGATGTGCGTTTATTCTTAAGCAGCCCTTAATGTCGATCATGGATCAAATCGATCCACCGTGGCAAACAGCGAATATTTATGCTGTTTGATGCATTTGAGACATTGGGCCTCATTCATGAAACACGAGCAGAACGAATTTGTGTAACTCGTTCGTAAAGCCGTTCTGACGTAAACTTTCGAATTCATGAAAATGTTCGTATTTTCAAAATGTTAGTTGATACGAAAGAAATGTACACCTGCTCCCTACCACGTGCAAATGGTGCGTAAAACGTTCTGTGTTCTTTTTGGCAAACTTATATATATATATATATATATGTATGTGTATATGTGGAATTTCCTCATACGACTTTCTGCGCGAGAGCTCCCTCCGGCTTCGAGTATGAATGAAAAATACACTGCACGGAATGTTTAACGCTCCGTGATGTTCATCTCGCTTTATTCTGGGTCCGAATAATCTACGCCCCTGATAGCAACTAAACCGTCTCGGCTGGAAAAACGCTGTGCCACCAAATCGTTCTCAAGCGCCACCAGCTGGTCGTTTTAAGAAGAGCGCCTGACATTTTTTCAGCTGGCTAAAACCTCGTTGGTGGTCACACATTATTGAATATTGATTGTTAGGCATATGGCCTAGTCTTTTTTGCATTTATGCAATATACTGGAGCCAAACCTGAGAAAGTAGACCAGAATATTCCGCTGCGTTCCTGGACACGCAATTTGCGTAGGCCTAGCTGTCGTTTATAGGCGAGGATTATGCTAATTGTGAATGAGCGTGCACGAGCGCCCTATTACAAATGATTGGAATTCATTAACATATCCTATTTGATAGTTAAACATGTGTTTACAAAGAGTTTGTGAATTTGGAGTAGAGTTTTCGGGAGGGTCCGTTTTACGCGCAAATTACTCCGAATTTACTCCTATATTTACGTAAGATTCATGAATGAGGCCCGTTGTGTTTTCCTCAGTGCATAACTGACACGTCACGGGTATATTTTTCATCTGTAAATGTTAGAAAGTCGTGCAAATATATCCATTTTGCTGTTCGGAGTGGGCGAGGCTTACGTGAGTGAACGAGCTGCTGCGCGCATGCGCGCTAAACAGATGGAACGCGATAGAATAATAACGCAATTCTGAATAAAATATGCATTCTGCTAAAATATTTGTTGATGGACATTAAAATGTGACGCATGTAGAATTTTAATTCTAAATATAAGTGTATTTTTATCATAGCAGTAACTGTAAATCAAATGTAAGCTGGCTAATACAGCCCTACTATCTAAATGAGTTAAATGTGTGTTCCTCTTATCAGTTAAAATGTCGTCTGATTTCTATTTATTTTCATTTTTAATTTGGCGTTTTAAATGCTTTAATGAGCAATTTTAGATTGTAGTTTTTTAATGTTCTGCTAATAACCATAAAAGGTACAGCTGTCATAAAACCCGAGAAAAAGTCTGCATGGCTAGGAACCGATGATCAACTGAATGTGCAAGTAGCAACTGTTAAAATGTTTTAAAATATCTAAAAAAAAAAAGAAGAAAAAGTCATTACATTTTGGGCACAATTCATTAAATACAATTGGTTGTAGCCTATTTTTTATTTATTTTTTTATTTGATTAAGTTGCATTTTCTGTATGCTTTTATTTTTGGACTAATAATAACGTCATCTAATTGTATGTGAGAGTCAGTGGTAATATCAATGCGTTCCTATTGGTCCGTGTTAGAGGAGCTCAGCTTAGCCTGACAGTTAGCCTGCTCCTGACCAGGTTATTTTCCCAGCATAATTTGCCGCAGTGACTGAGCTTGAGCTATGATAAATTTGCTTTCGGAAACCAAATCAAGTGACAATAAGTCAGAATAACTGAAATAAGTTTGGCTTATTTGGTAAACGTAGTTTAATGAAACAGCCCCATGGTGAACTTGGCCACTGCCCCTCTCCACCCGAAACCTTTGTATCTTTCTTTAATGTTGATTCTCCCTTTAGGGCACTATTAAAATAATGTAACTGAAGTCTGACTGGCAAAAGTTTGACATTCTTGTAATATTACTTGCTCCAAGATGCAACACGAGGGATTTGGACAGCTGTTTTCTGTGAGCGTGTAATAGCTCCGGTTCACTTATCAGTAGTGTTGATTAAGTTGGTAAAATTAGTGCTGTTATTTCTCTATTCTTTGTAGGCATTGCTGCTGTGGCTATTGAAAATGGTGTGGGAGGAAAGTGGCTAAAGGAAAACTATAAATATTCCCACTGCATTCCAAATGAGCTGCAATCTCAGATAGACAGCCAATACCTGGAGTCTTTTAAGAATTTTAGTGGTTAAATATTAAGAAATGAGGGAAAACTTCATGTAAAATTTTAAATTCTAAGGGGAATCAGCCCTTGATTCATTTGCGGGTTGTGATGCATTATTGTATGTGAAGAAGTATGAATCTTGTGAGGACTGATCTTTCTAAGTTTAAATGGATTTGATCCAGTACATTTTTCATGTTTTAAGCATTCAGTCATATTGGCCATAAATAGTCTGACGTCTGTTACACAAATACTAGTAGAGGTCACAATCAGATTGTAACTCAGATTTCTAACTTATTACTCTCTTGAAAATGGTAAAATCAATAATGAATTTCATGTAAACTAAAGATTTGATCAAAATACTAACCGTATTAAGATCAGGATTTAATAAAAAATAACAGTATTATGATATATTAACACATTTGGGAAAACACCCATTTTATTTATCGAGAGGTTTTTAAATAATGAAATAAATGGCTCGTTTAAGGAGAAACATTTTATTTAGAATACAAATATAAATCACAGGAAATGAAGCATACAATTTGAACATGTATCAAGGAAAATGACCCTTTTTAATAAACAGGATTTTTGATATAGAAAAATACATTTATCACTATTTATTGCTTTTTGTGCAACTCATGCATGATCCTCTTGTGTACCTTTTTTTTTTTTTTAAATCACTACTGACCGAAAACTAACCAAAACGTGAGTATTTTTAATGAACACAATTTAATCACTGATAATTATTGTGCATAGATCTCTTGGGAAAACCGAATACTGCTTTGCCACAAATGCAAACCACAAGTTTTCCAACAAAGGAATGTTTTCTTTCATCCAGCAGATATTCAGTTACACCCTATGAATAACAAACCACGCTGCTCTGTGTACAGTCACATAGTTGGAATATTGTCCATCCAACTTTTCTTATCTTGTAGATTCTCCCTATGTATGTATGTATGTATAAGTACATTTGTGTGTATGTTTTGCTTTGGTACCATTATGTTGGTGCAAATGTTTGCATTTTCACATGGCCAGTCTTTACTGACAACAGTTGGTCTGTTTCTTCTTGGAAGTTGCATACATGTTTGAGTTGCTGTTGATTTCTGTGTGGAGAAAATAAAGTTTAATTTAAATTCAAAGACAATGTGATCATATATATATACTATTCTTCAGTGCATATTATTCTACAGAAAATCACTGCTTCATGATCTTTTATACCACGCTGCTCTGTGTACAGTCACATAGTTGGAATATTGTCCATCCAACTTTTCTTATCTTGTAGATTCTCCCTATGTATGTATAAGTACATTTGTGTGTATGTTTTGCTTTGGTACCATTATGTTGGTGCAAATGTTTGCATTTTCACATGGCCAGTCTTTACTGACAACAGTTGGTCTGTTTCTTCTTGGAAGTTGCATACATGTTTGAGTTGCTGTTGATTTCTGTGTGGAGAAAATAAAGTTTAATTTAAATTCAAAGACAATGTGATCATAATAAATAAATAAATAAATAAAAATATATATATATATATATATCTATACTATTTTTCAGTGCATATTATTCTACAGAAAATCACTGCTTCATGATCTTTTATGTAATAACTTTTAACTCTGAAATAACTTCATCAATTAATGATTTCAGGTCACTCAGGCAGGGGAACCAATAATATAATTACCTTTTCATGATGCAATAAAATTCCAGTGGATTAAATGTTAAAGGAATAGTTCACTTAAAAACAAAAATTAGATGAAAATGTACTCATCCTCAGGCCGTCCAAGATATAGATGAGTTTTTCTTTAACTGAACAGATTTGGAAAAATTAAGCATTACATAAGTCCAAACGGCTGACTAAAAACATCACAATCCACAAGAAATCCACATGACTCCAGTCCATCAATTAATGTCTTGTGAGGGGAAAAGCTGTGTTTGTTATAAACACATCCATTATTAAGACTTTTTTTTTTTTTTTAGTTTCTGACTAAAATTATGAGTCTAACAATAATATGGCTTTCTCAGTAAAAAACAAACAAACTGTGAAATATACACAGAATAAGCATAATTTACAAGCGAAAACCATCTAAACTAATTACACTAAACCGGGCTCTACGCTTATTTTTCTTTTTAGGTGCACCTAATCAATAATCCAAAATTTGATAAATGTGCCTTCCCATTACGAGGTGGTATTTGACTCCAAGTGATTTACAGTGGAATTTAGTTTTTACCTTTGTAATGGCATTTAAAACAAACAAACTGCGAAATATACACAGAATAAGCATAATTTACAAGCGAAAACCATCTAAACTAATTACACTAAACCGGGCTCTACGCTTATTTTTCTTTTTAGGTGCACCTAATCAATAATCCAAAATTTGATAAATGTGCCTTCCCATTACGAGGTGATATTTGACTCCAAGTGATTTACAGTGGAATTTTGTTTTTATCTTTGTAATGGCATTTTTCTAACTTTAAAAGTATGTCATCTTTTATGTCAAATTTAAAAAAATATATATTTTATGAGCTTTTTAAAAATTCTAATTAAAACCACAATATTAAATGATTTAAAGAACTGGAAAGATACTTTAAAAATGAAACTAAATCCGCCGGCAGGTGGTGACAAGTCACTGATTTTATCATTCAATTGATTCATTCGAACAGCTGAATCATTCAGGAATGAAGCAAGTGACAGTATTTATGAATGGGTAATCATGAATCATTGACTCACTAAATTCGTTTAAAAACACAGTTCATTCATAAACGAAACGCCGCTGTGTTTGAATGGAGATGCGCAGCGGCTGAGCTGTGACTTGTTTCAAACTATTTTCGACGACGAAATAGAGCAAAATCAGACAATAGTGTTCTAGTCAGACAATGTCAGTCACTTAATATTAACTTCTTGTCTATTGAACTGTTGTATTAAATCAGTATCACATTTACAAACTCACTTAAAAATCGTTAAAAGCTGTCACTCATCTTAGCTCTTCGCGAGCTCACATTTATAATCAACGAAGCTCTCTACACTGCGCTTTTCAGTCGCACGCAGTAGTTTTCAGTCGCAAATGCGACTGAAATGGTCGCACTGTAGAGCCCTGCTAAATTGTTATGGATTATGGACTGATATTTTTAAGTTGAAGTTAAAATGTCTTGATGGATTTGTTTATTACAAACATACAGTTTTTTTTATTTCACAATGTTAGTTGATGGAGTGGTGTGGTGTGGATTACTCGTGGATTATTGTGATGGTTTTTATCAGCTGTTTGGACTCCTATTCTGAGGCACCCATTCACTGCAGGGGATCCATTGGTGAGCAAGTGACGCAATCATTTGCATATCATTGCTATCTTGTTGATTATGATTGTGATCATTTGTAAGTCGCTTTGGATAAAAGTGTCTGCTAAATGATTAAATGTAATGCTAAATTTCTCCAAACCTGTTCAGATGAAGAAACAAACTCATCTACATCTTGGATGGCCTGAAGGTGAGTGCATTTTTAACAAATTCAAATTTTTGGGTGATCTTTAATGTACTTACGAACAACTTCCCCAATACGTCTGGATCCACTTTTCTCCAGTTCTGCCAGAACATTTGCCTCAAACGTTAAAGATGCCACTCTGAAGAAAAACTCTCTTACATTCTCCCCTACAGTCACAAAAAGAGTAATTAATCTAAATAAACAGTAGCAACCTCTAAGGTTTCCCAAATACTTTGTGACTTTGTAAATACATTATTTACACAGAATTGATACAAATCCCATTAACATATAATACACTATAGCAATATCTCAAGTCAGGAACTCACCAGACAAGGCAGACACAGCCCAGTACTCTGCTTTCATCTGATCTGCCAGTTTAATGGCGTCCTGCTCAATTAGTGTATACTGTGCAGGAGACTAAAGGAAAGACACATTGGTAGGACATACGTGACCCTGGACCACAAAACCAGCCTAAAGTCACTGGGGTATATTTTTAGCAATAGCCAAAAAAAAAACATTGTATGGGTCAAAATTATCGATTTTTCTTTTATGCCAAAAATCATTAGGATATTAAGTAAAGATCATGTTCCATGAAGATATTTTGTAAATTTCCTACTGTAAATATATAAAAACTTAATTTTTGATTAGTAATATGCATTGCTAAGAACTTCATTTGGAGAACTTTAAAGGCGGTTTTCTCAATATTTAGATTTTTTGCGCCGTCAGATTCCAGATATTTAAATAATTGTATCTCTGCCAAATTTTGTCCTATCCTAATAAACCATTATTAGCTTATTTATTCAGCTTTCAGATGATGTATAAATCTCAATTTAAAAAAATTTACCCTTCTGACTGGTTTTGTGGTCCAGGGTCACATATATAAATATGTACATAAAGTATATGGGAGAAAGCAGTATTGGATTATGCATGGCCATGAATTTTTATATAAAAACATGTTAATATAAAAACAATATAAAATAAATTATTTTATATATTTATAAAATATTATATATTATAATTTTACATAAAAACAAGTGTAATGTCAATTCAAAAATGTAAAAAAAAAAAGGTCACTCACACTCAGATCTTTCTTTGTGCCTACCAAGAAGAGTAATACACTGGTAGGATCATTCTCTTTCATTGCGTCCTCCAGCCATTGCCTTTAGACGAGGATGATACATTTCTTGTGTGAAGCACACTGTGTATTTTTTAACCCAGAGGGCAGAATTACAGTGATGTCATTTACCTTGTATGCTCCAGTGAAGCCACATCAGTCAAATCAAACACAATGATTACAGCTGTAAAACAGGAATGGGAAAAGAATAAGAATACCTCAAAAGTAAAAAAATACAAATAAAATTCAATAAATAAATAAAATTCAATGGGAAAAATATTTACTTAAAAAAAAAATACTTAAAAATTAAATTACATTTTAATTATCTAATTATTCAATAATTATGTTTTTAGTACTATTACCAGATTTAGATATATTGTACATTATAGTGTATAAAATATTAAACTATTGTTATACAAAAATTATATATATTTTTTTATTATTATATTTTAAATAATATATTTAATATTATCATCTGGTGAGTCATATACCCTGAGCTCCTCTGTAGTATGTAGAGGCAATGCATTTAAATCTCTCCTGTCCTGCAGTGTCCCACCTGAAAAATTAAAACAAAAACTTGTTTAAAATAATTATAGAAAATACTTGTTTTAGACTGTCATAAAATTTACTTACAGTTGTAAACTGAAAGGGACCCCAAGGACTTCAAATCTCTCCATCTCAAAGTCCACACCAATGGTGGCCTTGTAATTTTTGTCAAAGACATCTTTACAGAACCTAAAAAAAAAATAAAATACAAAAAAAATGCAGTAGATTAAATTACTATATTCAGCCAAACAATAACTGAAAAGCGAGCTGAATTATTTGATATGGCTATTAAACATTAACCAGTTAACTCTGTAGCTTTGCTCACCTATTAATCAGACAGGTTTTCCCCACTGCCAGATCACCCACTACAATGACCTTGGAGATCTTAAACCTACTGGACAAAACGAAAAAAAAAAAGGCACTGAAAAAAACAATGCTGCATAATTTAAACCATCCAAACAGTTCTGAAAATATCCCCAAGCCACTGTTTCAACAAAGGATAACATCACACCCCACAGTTCCTGTCCTCTGCTGCAGACAGGCCGTCTTCACCTTGCCGTGAAATTCATCCTCTGTGTTCAAAGCAGCACCTTTGTTGAAGCACTACAACAGGAGTGAATATTAACACTCATTACTTCAGGAAGCACTCGAGGAAATGGATTTCAGATTGGTTAAGTTGGATGGGTTTCAGAACAAACAATACCTTGAGCATCGGTGAATTGTGTGTAAAGCATGTACCTTAGGAAGCTGGCTAATTATGCGGTCTTTCCTTACAGGGGGCAGTACGCTCATGATGATGCTTCTGCAGGAGACACACAAAGTTATGAATCACAGCTTGGCATTTTGTAACATGGCACACCATTAATATGAGTAATGGCTGTTCAGAATGAGGCTCACTTGCAGGATTTAAATAAAGGCCTATCTTTCCGTGTAGCACGTTACTCTTATGTAAATGTAACAGTCATGAAACAACGAACATGTCGGATTAGTTTTAATTTAAATAGTTGCCAACTTGGTCATTAGAGTGGCATGGGTGGTGACTCACTAATCTGTATCTGTTAATCCTACAGTAAATCTGAGAACAAAGAAAAAAAAACCTAATTTGTGGCAAAACCTTTTTGTGATGCCTCTTTTTATACTTTTGGTGCAATTTGTGCTTTTTACACACGTACATGATTAAATTAACAACATAAGTATTACGTATAGTAGTTTTATGACTAGTATGATGTACATAAACATTTTAAGAACAAACGAAAGTCCATCCTTTCTAGTCGAACTCAATCTGTGCTTCGTAAAACTGTTGCTACAAACAAACGTGTGCTTCTTACCTCAGGACGTTTTTTCTGTGAATGTAGCGCTAGTTTCCTGAGACAAAGACGTTTGAAACGCCTTTAAGGAAAGAAGAATAAAACGGAAAAGAAACAAAAGGGAGGAGGGGGATATGAGGCGCTTCTAGCATTCATGCATCGCGTACAGTTTCCAAGTTTCTGAAGAAAACGGCAGGATATTCCGACCGACGGAAGCGCTGTGAGCGGCGTACAGATGGATTCGTCTGCTCCAGTCCCCCGGTCTGGTCTCTCCCCACCAAAACCAGGAAAGAGAGATAGAAAACGCCTCCTACAGTCCAGAGTTTGCAGACCGGTTACAGCAGATAGGCTATAACACGGTTGTTACCGTACTTTTCTTTTAATACCGTGGTTACCAAGGTACTGCTGATGTTACTTTATTTGAAAGTTAGGCCTAAAGCTCGCAAACGCTAAAAACAGCACGAATATAGATATTTGAAATGAGTTTAGAAACACTGTGCTCAATTCACATATATATATATATATATATATATATATAATTGTCATCCCTTGCAGACAGTAGTGCTATTTTTAAGTAAATATAAATGAATTTATACGTTTATTCAGGAATGATGCACATGACCGTATGAGATTTGTTAATAATAAATGCTGTTCTTTTGATCTTTCAGCTCGTCGAAGTCTCCTGAACCAAAAATGTACCACGGTTTAAATATGAATATGAATGGTTTTCAACATTGATAATAATATGAAATGTTTCTCGAGCAGCAAATCAGCATGATTTCTGAATCACTGAAGATGAAAATTACATTTGAACATATGCTACATTAATATAGAAAACATTTATTTTAAATTGTAGGCATTATGGTACTTCACAATATTACTGTTTTAACAGTATTAAAAAAATAATCCAGGCTTGGTGAGCATAAGAGACTTCTTACAAAAACATAAAAAATAATAATAAAATTAATCTTGACGACCCCAAACTTTTCAACATTAAAGTATATTTGTCATACATTGTTTTGCTTGTAATGTCTAAGTCATCATTAGTTAAAAATCTAGAAAATATCCTTCAAAATATATATTTCATCTTAGCACCATACTACAGTAGGTTTATTTACTGTAAAATCAAACACGTAACAATATTCACTTTTCTTAAACCTTTACTGTCAGACCTTATTATTTAATTATAACATAAGGTTTAAAAAAAAACGCTGTTCATAACTAGCATGCAATAGGTTGTTTGCAATCACGTGATTCTGATGACGCGCGAAATGCTGCTGGAGGGCAGGAAGTGATTTTTCTCCATAGAAATCACTAGCAGAAACTCCAAATGCCAGTGTTTTGCATTGTTTATGGATGCTCAAATCGGACAAACCGAGAAACCACAAGGAGCTTTTATCGTGTACAAAAATTTGTTGCTCATAAGGGGGGGGGGAATTCAAGAATTTGACTGAAAAACGCTGGAAAAGTGGCTTGTAAACCTGCGTCTGCGGTCGGGAGGAGCGAAGCCGGATAATGGCAAATGGCTGCAATATAACAAAGAGTGAAAAATTTAAGGGGGTCTGAATACTTTCCGTACCCACTGTATATGCATCATGCCTAAAACGGTAGCCTACATTACCGACTTTCCTGTATCTCATCCGTTCTTTTTCAGTCACTCCTGAAACTTTGCTGCATGTACAGGGTATGTGGCTGTTGGTCCTGTTAGCAGCACCTAAAACAAAACTTTTATTCAAATTCTGAATTTATTATAGCCTGCCTAGAAAGCGAGCAAATAACGCTTCCATATAATCACTAAAAAGCTGTCACTCACTTCAGTTGATCACAATTTCACGATGTTCCTTTATAATCAGTGAAGCTTTCTGAACTGCAAATCATATCTTATTTACGTGTCTACGTGTGGCGTTTAGCACTGAGTGAATTCTGACTGCTTTTTCCTGCGTTTTTCAATCAATTTCTTGACTTTTCCCCACTTATGAACAACACATTTTCGTACACGATAAAAGCTCCTTGTGGTTTCTCGGTTTGGCCAATTTAAGCATCCATGAACAACGCAAAACACTGGCATTTAGAGTTTCTGCTAGTGATTCCTATGGAGAGAAAAATCACTTCCTGCCCTCCAGCTGCATTTCGGCATCATCAGTGACGTCATGTGCAAACAACCTATTGGCAGTTTTTCTAGTGTAAAGCTGTGCAGTAGGCCTAAAGCAAAAAAAAAAAAAAGGCCTAAAGCATGTAGTTTCTTCTCAGCCACCAGAGGGCGCCATACAGTGTTGCCAATTTAGCAATTTTGTAGCTAGATTTAGCGACTTCCCCACCCCTTTTGATACTTTTTTTTCAAACGTTTAGGGACAAATATTGCAACTTCTTGGACAAACCTTGTCTAAGTTCTCCTCTTGCCCACTGATCTATATTCATCTTTATTTAGATCAGTGAATTTACCATTATGATGTCAGTCATCTATAGTGACATTTAGCTACCAGTTTTAGCTACTTTCAATTGAAAGCAGTTGGCAACACTGGCACCATATTGCAACTCCATAAGTTCTTATCTACTGTTCTCTAGTCCAGATAGATTGCTTAAGCTTTCACACAACACACTAGATTAAGCAGGTAACACAGTCACATAAAAAATGAGATGAAATTGTCATGAGTTTTCCTCCAAGCATGAACAAGGCTGACAAGGAGGTTTATATTCATGTAATAGAGTGTTTCAGGGATGACATTTTTGTAGGTCAGTCTGGAAGTTAGCATCACCCTGACGTCTTTAGCACTAAGCTGCTGATAGCTCTTTCAATCTTAAAGTACACAAGTTGGTAAATTTGAGTTAAACTAGGCTTAGTTTGCAAGAGCCTGATAATGTAAAGTGCCGCTGCTGATGTGTTGTTGCACATTTGATATCATGTTAAGTCTCTGTAAATGTTTTGCGTCGTCTTTTTGTGAATCTCTGCTAAGATTGTTGCATCTTCTCCTTAACAAGCTCATTTATGTAGAAATTGTCTTTAATTGCAAAACTTTCTCTGCACACCTTTCATGAATGAACCAAGCAGTGAGAAAGCTGTCCTCACTCACCCAGCCCAGCTTCCTGACAGCACAGAATGGACCAGAGAGAGGTTCCTCCAATTCCATGTTTCACCACTTTGGGCTGAGTTATGATCTGAACCAATCTATGAACTAATCTCAATGTGAAAGAGAAAGCAATCACATTGACCGCAGGGTACCATGCAATGCAGACACCATTCCATCCATCCATTCTCCTTCCTGGATTCATATCCCTTTTGTAATAAGTGGTTGTTTGCTTGTACTCTAGTAATGGTCTAAAACTGGTCAATGTTTATACTGTTCTATTCTTTGAATGCGCGGTTGCTGGACAACCAGTGTCAGTGTGAATTGGTTGAAGTGTAAAGAACAGTAGAACAGTTGAGGAGAAGAGGAATGGAAAGAGAACAGTCAGTTTGGAAAACACTGAGATAAAGCAACTTAAGCTCATAAGTCATGTAACCTACATTCATTGAAAAAGCATTTCACCATAGATTAAAAAAAACTCAAGAAATGACAGTGTATTGTTTGTGTATCTTGGGAAGAATTGGCTGCATCATGAGACTGCCTTTACATATGGTTTGATATATATATATATTAAAATCTTAACTATGCAACTTTTATATTGCTGTTCAGCTTTTCAAGGAAAATCTATGCTCTTTTTTTTGTGAAAGAGTAATGAAAATATAAAAGAGTAACAGGAGATCCTGGGTTCGAATCCCAGCAGTGCCGGCTTATATAATATGCGCTTTTCTAAGAATGAACAACATTCTAAAAACGACAGCAATGTGCTGCAATCCATTTCGATAGCCGCAATGTTCTTCTGGTGGTCCTGTGATCCCCTCTGACAGTGGCTCTGCTCTCTGGGCTCGTTCTTGGACAGGAGACACCGAACTGACATCTCCGCATTTTTTAACTGGGCTTCCTTTGTATAGAAACATAAGGGCCTGTTTTTCCTGCCCATAGAGCGTGCAGCCTTGCAGCATTGGACGTGCAAAAGCCTGGCAGAAAAAACTATTACGTGTTCCAGGCAGTTACAACACCGGGCTCTGACTCAAAGGGTAGCGTAATGGATATCTATACTGAACAAAATTATAAACGCAACACTTTTGTTTTTGCCCCCATTTTTCACGAGCTGAACTCAAAGATCTAAGACTTTTTCTATGTACACAAAAGGCCTATTTCTCTCAAATATTGTTCACAAATCTGTCTAAATCTGTGTTAGTGAGCACTTCTCCTTTGCCGAGACAATCCATCCACCTCACAGGTGTGGCATATCAAGATGCTGATTAGACAGCATGATTATTGCACAGGTGTGCCTTAGGCTGGCCACAATAAAAGGCCACTCTAAAATGTGCAGTTTTATCACACAGCACAATGCTACAGATGTCGCAAGTTTTGAGGGAGTATGCAATTGGCATGCTGACTGCAGGAATGTCCACCAGAGCTGTTGCCCATGAATTGAATGTTCATTTCTCTACCATAAGCCGT